TAAAATAGCAGTTCTAGGAACTGTTCCACCCACACTAAAAATAGGAGGAATTTTATTGCACAGTTTGGTGTGTTTTAAAACTGTATTTCTTAAGCCAATTTTACATCGAATTAACTTTCTACCTTTACCATTAACAGAACTTATTTTTTCAAAACAAGGATTCAATTGAATAAATGAGTAATTCTGATTTGTTCCAAAAAAAGTATTAGAAACTTCATCATAATTATCACCATTAGTCCGAGAAACATTACTTGAAGTACACTCTATTAAATTACCATCACAACTTCCATTGACACTATCATTATCATCACCTAATTTAAATTACAAAAATGAAATTAATTGTTAGTATAAGCATTATTTATTTTATGGTAAAAAAATGCATAGAAATAATATTCTCAAGCTATGATTATATCAAATCAAATATATATTACTATTACCATAATATTATCATAACTGTGATATGTTTAAGTGCCATTTATAGATAGGTACAATATACAAATATATAATGTATATGTATACACAAAATTGTACATATCAATTAGGCAACAAGGCAAGTACTCCTAATTTTAAATTTGAATTATGGGTACCTATAGCATATGTAATTATAAATAAAACACTCATCTCTAAAGTATTAAGGTATGAAGATACCTACTCGTTTGATTTGAATTCTTTTGGATTGTATTATTGTCAGTCTTGTTGTGAACTGAATCTAAGGAATAACCAAATTTAATTTTATTATTCACGGCTGTTTATAATTTATATTGTATAGTGTACACCAGATGTACAACATTGAACAATAGATTTCATTTTCATATTTAATTATTTTCTAAATAGCTAATTAAAGAATTTGGTAACCATAATTTTACTACATGTCACAGAACTTAATTTAGTACAAAATGACTTACTTGTACTCGTATTGTCATTGGTTGTTTTCGGTTTTAGCCAAAATTGCAGTGTACATTGTTTTTTATTCGACATAACAATAACGTTATATTATAATTATATAGGTTAAACAATTTTTTATAAATCTAAAAACCAGCCTTGTAAAGAATATTTTTATTTTGTATTCGGAATACGTATTCGAATAAACGGTTAAAAAGGTATTCAGAATACGTATTTGAATAATTTTCACAAAATATATTTAGAATATATTCTGGAATATTCAAAAAATTATTCGAATACTTTGAGAATATTATTTTTTTTAATACACTTTTTTTATATGTTTAAGTCATAGACAGTAGTGATTAGATACATTAATTTATTTTAACTTTTCTTTTTTATATTCTACATAATAATTATATACTAATAATTAATAAACTATAAAGTAATAAGAAAAAAATTTACATTTTGTTACATTTTATCATCATAACTTTTTCAAAATTGTTATCAGTCATTTTCCCTCGTTTCTTGGTCAGAACTGCACTCCCCACACTAAATGTACGCTCTATTGGTGCACTACTTGGTAAAGGTGTATTGTATTTTAAATAAACTTTTTTCATAATAGGAGTATCATCCAATGAAGTTAAGTTCTTTGTTGGGCTCTTAGAAAAATAATTCAATATTTCATTTTCGGCAGAATTATTGGTATTTGTTTTGTTAGACCAATTAGAAAAATAATTATTTAATACATCATCAGATTGATTTTTATTACAATTAATTTCTGGTGTAGTCATCTTCCACATTGGAAGAAGACTTGGAAAATTCATTAACTACTTTCTTAAACTGATTAATAGCTATTTTCCTTTTAATATCATTTTTTATCCAACCAGTTTTAAAAAAAGGGGTGAGATACGGTAGCAATTATAAGGAATGAGTCAGTTAGTTGAGTCTCAAATCTTTTTTCAATATTGAAACAAATTAAATCAATTAATGATCTACAAAACTTAAAATTTTTATTTATTTTCATATTCTCATACTGTGTAATAAGTTGAGAAATTGATGGGATTAAATAACCGAAATACATAAACTTTTCTCCTTGCAAAATATCTAAGCACACAGCTAATGGTTCCATCACAACTACATACTCCTCTAACCATTCAATATCACTTTTAGTTAATCGCACAACATTTAATTCATCACACAATCTTAAAAACTTGCTCGGGTTTTTTTTATCTGAAGTAACATGAATTTGATAGAATCAAACATTGAGTTCCATCTTGTATCATTTGGACATTTCAAGTATACATCTAAACATTTGTGAATTATGTCTGCCATACTTGTGGAACGACTCTGTTTATTCCATACAGCCATACATTTAGACATAGTTAGACGGCTTTGCTTTTTGTATAATTGGTGTTCTCCATGAATACCAGATTTGTTTATTGCATTTTCAATATCCTAAAATATTAAATATTTAGCTTAGAATTTATTTATTAAATATGAAAATTCAATGATTACTTTTGTCGCAACTAAGTTCAAAGTATGTGCAGCACAACGGTGGTGGGCCGGTAAATTATAGTTAAAGTCATCAACATTATTTTTAATAATTTCAGTGATTGGAATTATTGAACTACAAATCTCATGAATGTTATCCTCATCATCCTTATTTTCTTCACCATCAATATCACTCTCAGGTTCTTTAAGACCTGGATCTTAAATATCATTTTCAACCCCAATGATAGGTGTACATAAATTCTAAAATGTATATGAAAATAAATTAAAACAATATATTAAAACTTAATTTTAAGGGTACTGTCGGTACTGATTAAATTACTTGAAACTTTTAACAAAATTAGACCCACTGTCAGTTGTTGTAAAAGATATTTTGTTTAGAATCTCAAATTTTATATAATCTGATTCCATTGCACCAGCTAGCACATCAAATGTATGTCGCCCATCCAATTTTTTAATTGTCAAAAGTACAGATTTCCTACTTGAGTTTTCTTCATCAATCCAGTGACATGTAATACGAATGTATGATCTATATAAAGTTTTATTATAATTTATAATACTTACTAGAAAAACAAATTTTAGAATTTAGTAATCTTAATAATAAAAAATGTATATCTCTATACCTTTTAAAAATGCTCCAACAATCAGCTGTAGTTGTAAGATATTTAACACTAGACATATCTTTAATTAAATTACATATAAGATAATCAAATGCTGCATTTAATCTACACATCAGGGTAGGTCGTGAAAGCAATGTACGACTAGGAAATCCTTTTTGGCAAAGTAATTTAAAATCATTTTGTTCAACTAGACTGAATGGAAGTGTTGCATTTACAATTAAATTTCAGATTAATTGATCAAATTCACCTAAAAAAATGCACTTAAAATAAATATAAATATAAAAGCCTCATAACATTTTAATTATTCTACTCACTTTGAGAAACAATGTTTTTTCTAACACCTGTAAATTCAAACAGGGAAGGTTGATTACATATTGCAGACTTTGATATTTTTTCTAATACACCTCTCTTGAGAATCATGAACTCTGTAAATAATATTAACGTTGATCCGTTTTGTTATAATTCGTTTCACTCATTTAAAAATCATGTTTCCGCTAATTTATTTATGCACATTAATTAATGTACATGTAATATTATTTATATTCTTGTCTTGTACTATTACATTAAGTATTTTTACTGTTTTATATTTATGTTTAGAATGCTATTATATTAATTAAATTAATTCATGTAACTGAGTCCAAACCTGTATATTATCTCAAATAAATCAATAAATAAATAAATTATAAAAATACATATGTATTGTAATTCTACACTACTTGAGACATAATCTAATATTAATATTATTGGCCCCATAGAGTTTGAGTAGGTATCGTTAACCTTTTAAAAGGGACTTTTTGTAGGAAGCTTTTTAACTAAAAAATTCTTGCATTACAAAAAAAAAGTATTTTAAAATGTTTAAATTAGTGGAATTTAATAATAATTCATTTCGTTCTAATATGTTTTCTGAACAAGATATATGTAAATGGATTAGAATTCATAGTAAACAGACCAATACCAGCTGGGTGTGTGAACAATAAATTGTCTAACAGTGAAAGTGCAAGATATGTTTGTAGGTAAGAAGTCAATACACACACATATATACCAGCAGTATTTATACAATTATATACTATCTACCTATTTTGTTAAGTTAAAATAATTGGTATGGTGTTTTAGAAAAGTTTATATGTGCCACCATAGTGGATTTAATAAAGTTAGTATTGAGAACAACAAAAAAGGGAGATAAAAAAACACAGAATGCAAAGCTCAAATTAACATTAAAACTAAACTTAAGAGGACGCCACACCGAAAGCGAAACGTATACAACGGCCGAGAGAATGCGCTGTTAAGTGTTTTCGCGATGCGCAAGCACGCGACGTTTAAGCTACGCCCATTACTCGTAGTCGGCGACTGGCCCGTGGCCGACGATTTTGCTCCTTCGGGAGCGACGTTTATTATTTTCTCAACCTTCGTCTGTGATGGAGCGGGTAAATAATATACAACGCATACACGTATATTATGCCGCATTGCCGCCGTAATATTTTTAATATTCGCGCGTAACTACGTGGCTTGTATTTATTGCATTATTAATTACTTACTTCATAAAAAATATATTCAATTTTCAATATAGTATAAATAATATCAAATTTATAACTGTAACCTAAACTAGTATTAGAAAAATATCTATATTATATTAGTTTTTTAGTAGGCCAATTGAATATATTATTTTACGTTATACTGCTACCACATAAGTATATTTTTTAAATGACATTTTTTGCGTATTTCTAAACATTATAAATTGTTCATACATCTGTCATCTATTATTTATAAGGTCGTACTTTTCTACCTATCTTACTTATAATAATTTAAAACTACAATTTACTAATAACTAATAAGTAATAACAAATATATGAATTATTACGCGTGCATTCAATAATATATTTATTAGTTTGTAATTAGTAATTGATATATTATATATTTATATAGACACTGCAGGACAAGGAGGATAGTAGAATATTGTTCAAAATGTATTAAAAAAAAATCTCTGCTTTACTTTTTCATATCTTATTACAATCTTATATATTGCTAAATAGTAAATCTATAAAAAAATTCATCTTTTAACATTTTTTTTTTTAATTTGTCGTTGCAGATGTTGAGCGTTTAAAATATGTAGTGGCTCTCTAATATCAGTAATCAACAACCTTTTCCCATAAAGGGGGTCTATAATTTCGGGCAACAAGCAATCCAAATAAAATCTAAAACAAATAAAATATTAATATCATAGACAGTAGACGCCCATGTATTACGCATATGAATAAACAATAACTATAGGTTCACTTTAATACTACTTATATATCAATTATTTCTTACGACTGAAGTTTTTTGACCATTTTCATTTCCCAAAAGGAAATATCAAAATGTATTTCTTCGACATTTATCCAATTTTTCGTGTAAATTACGAAATAACACAAATTTCTTTGTGTTATCCTTAACTGACCAATTACTTGAAAGTAATAGGCATGGTCTTTTTTTAACACAATTTTTCCTTCTTTAACCGAACAATATGGGGCAACTATAACATATTCCCCAAATTTTAATACAAATTTGTTTACGTATAGGCATGCTTGTATTATAATTTAATTGCATTATACAAACCAATTTTTTTTCCATCGCTTCAATAGCACTGATTGTATCTTTGGCGGCGTATGGACATTTGATCTCCAAAACGAAATGTTCACCAACTAGTCCATCTATAAGATAATTACATTTTGATTTAAATACAATTAAAGAAACATTAATTAATATTTATATACATAATATGTCCATATTATATAAATAATTAAACACCTGGGCTAGCTGCTAAGTATGGATACTCTCGATCGATAAACAAACCACACAACTGGACGGAAACTTGAATTAATGCTTCAAAACTCGACCTGGCTAGGGGTTCGATTTCTATACCGTAAGCCATTGATTTGCACATAGCAGATGGTTTGTACAGCATTCCATGGACTTTCATCTTACAGCTTGTAGAATCTCTCATTTTGCATATCTCGCCGAATTTTGAAGCTGTCAAACGTACTCTCCTTTCTTTATACCATATCTCACTATGGCTTTGATCCCTAGTAACTTTTTCAATTTCATATCGGTTCACATCAGTGAGCTTTTGTAAAAATAAATTTTTTTTTTCCAAAAAATGTTCATTATTTAAACTGAGGTTATCGTCTAAAGGCTCAGCTAAACCATAGTTGTTATCAGGTGCGCTACATTTATACTTGGGTTTTGTTCGTACAATTCCAGAACTAAAAAGTTTTCGTCTTTTATTGTTGGTATTATTCCTAATTCTAGTAATATTAGTTGAATATTTATTACCGAATTTTCCTATTAAAAATACAATGAATTATAATTAATATACTAAATATAATAAAACTATTACTATAACAAATAGTTAGTAAGTCAACAGTATAAATAGTTTATAGTTTATAGTATGCCATATTCGGCGAATATAACGTATTAAAAAAAAAAAATTGTAGAGTACCTACTATATAATTTACCTGGACTTTTGGAAATAATTGTTTTTTGTACAGCACGTATATAATTATGAGAGTTATATGCCACAACTGCAGCTTCGACCCGTGTTTTATAATTATTCCCCTGTGTAAAATTGATCCGTTTTCCGCCAATGTGCTTGTTTATGAGACTGTTGAATTGTTCACATGGGTTGTTATCTGTGTTTTCAATCAAGCTCTCAGTATTTGCCGCTAGTCTATAAACAATTTTTCTAATTTCAGCCATGATACCAGTTTCTATAGCTTCAAGTACGAAGTTTCTTTCTCCAACTTTTGGCCCGGTACAAAAGTAGTTAGCACAGTTATCATGCTGTCCGAGACGATGGTATGGGCTGTTTGTAATATCTTTTCTAAGGTCTAAAATAAAATATAAGTAGGTACATTTTAAGTAACATAACAGACAATTATTTATAAAATGTAACCTAACCTTGTATTTTTAAATTTTTTTTATCAACATTTATTTCAAATGCCTATAAATAGCTCCAAAAAGGTCAATTATTTGAAAATCAAATCACGTAAAGAAAATGGGAATCTAAATGACTGGTAAAATTTTCAAGTTTCTACGACTTATACTTTTTGATTAATAACAAATACCAAAATCGTTTGAGGCTAAACCGTTATTTAACGCGGTTTTGTAAAAATTTAAATTTCAAACACTCATAAAAATTTTTTGTCTGAATCCGGTAGAGTTTTTTTTACAGATATTTAAAGAAAAACTTATGGAGAACCTTGTACCAAATTTTAAAAACTTAGTTATAAAAGGAAAATGTTTACGATTTTTCAACCACAAAATTACTTGCAAATTTTCGCAATTTTGACATATTTCGTATAAATTTGAACTTTAAGCACTTATAAAAAAAATTTGTGACTAACGATTTTGGATTTTTTTTTATCCCTTTGAGAACAACTTATAAGAAACCTTGTATTAAATTTTAAAGATTTTCTGGTTATTTAAAAAAAAATACTTAGAAAAATTGAAAATTTAAATTGTCTATAAATAGCTCAAAAAAAGTCAAAACACTTTGAAAATTTAACCCTGTATAGACAACGGTAATATAAACATTCGTTGAAAATTTCAAGTGCTTACAAAAATTATTTTTTGAGTTACAGTAAAATTAAATTTTCGTGTTTGTCAAAAATGGGTTTTGCGTACAATTTCCCGTTTTTCCGTCACTTTTTTTAAGGTTTTTCCCGACGTTTTTGAAAAGTATTGGAAATTTTTCACTTTTGACCCCCCAAAGTACCAACTAGATTCACTTGCCGTTCAGAAACGGTACTACTTTTGAAAATCGAAACATTATTACTGCTCCAAATGTTGTCATTAGAAAAAAAAAAAAAAAAAAAAAAAAAAAAACATCATTGTAAAATCAATTCATCACTCTGTTCAGAATCTAAAATTGTACGAGTGTTTAATTTTTCACGAAATCAAAATTCACTCGTTAAAATAAAATAATAACAATATTTGAATATAATATATCCTAGACTGACAAATCATCTCAGTTCAGAATCGTTTTTCGTATACAATGATACTTATCATTGCATTCAAATTTAGCAAACACATTATAGTGACCTAGGTACTCTATGACGGAGGTCCATCCCACCCCTTAATGTACAGCAGAGCGACATCCACTTGCCCACCCTTTTTGAGTTTGTAAATAAAGTAATATACAACTTACTCGACAATATCAATGTTGGCCTCTTCTGGACTCAAATTTTGCCGTATTTCTCTTTAAAATCATAAAATAATAATAATGACGGGTATTTAAGTTTGCAATTTTATATACAGGTGATAGTCGATAGATAACTAATTAGTAAATAATATATATTATATACTTACAGATTATGCTGATTTTTTTTAGCCATACCTGCCATACTTAACCGGGTCTTCATATCTGATTTACGCTGTCTGTTTTTTTTTTTAACAGTACGTGCTTTTTTATACGGAGACATAATAACAAACAAATTTCACAGCGCAGTAGCAAATGCCAAGTAAAAGTTAAAATAATGTAAAAATAAATCAAAGCGCATTGACATCGAACGTTGAACGTACTCTGATGGATGTATAGGTCACAATGAAATAAATTCATATTTTATAAAACAATATAATACGCCAATACGGAATTATAATATCAACGGCATTCGGCAGTAATTGCCGCAGTATTATTGTTTTCGTATCGACGATTCGGATATTTATAAACTATGCGGGCATGCGATAGATAACTATTTTCGACCCATGGTGCGGTACAGTGCTTATGCGCGCGGTGTAGGTGTATGGGTACGTTTTTAGAACGCTGCCGCTAGAGCAGTAGCAGCAGCACTATACGGGACTATTACGTGTTACAAATACGACATTTTTTTCAAAAACATGTCTCAGGAGAATCAGTCTCATTTGGGTTACACTAATCGTACAAAATCCAACTTTCGTTAACATACAGGCAAGAACATTATCTGTGTTCCTATGTTTTATTTTTTAGATAGCATTAACATAGTAATAATTAATAAATGTTGAATATTTAGTTTTTTTTATACTTTTCTACAATCCATAAAAAATTATTGAGTAAAGTTATAATCACAATAAAACATAGGAACACAGATAATATTGTTATCCTTAAGTAGTCAAAATTAGATTTGTGTGCGATACCTACAGCCCAAAGGGGAGCGATTCTCCTAAAACATGTTTTTAGGTAACAAAAATGGGTGTGTAGCGTCCTCTTAATACTAAGGACCAGTGTTGTGCAATAGCTAAATTTAGTTATATAAATTTATCTAGATACTTCATCTAGATAAAACAATCGTATCTTTTATCTTATCTAGATAAATTACACAATTGGTATCTACCTGTCATCTAAGATAGAAAACTTCGTCATCTAAATTAATTTATCTAGATTGTTCACGAGACGTAATCTGAAAAATATACGAACATTATGTTTTCTGATATTATTTTTAAAATTGTATAATATATTATATAAT